AATACACCCAAGAATCTAATGACTCTCAGTAATTACATCAGCAGACTGTTTTTTTGTTTTTGAATTGCTTGCATTGTATATAGCATAATTTCAGTTGATATTTCACTTAGATAAAGTGCAGTAAGGTACCTTTTGAAAGATTACCTCCCTTTTTTAATGAAGAGAAAAAATGATTGGCTTTTCCCTTTAAAAAAGATACCAAGTCATTTTCTACTGAACAAAAAAGTATCTTATATTAATATAGTGTTCATAACATTTTAGTATTATAATGATATATACCAGCTAAAAGAAGTGTTAAAAACTGTCCAACATTTCATCAGTTGATGTTTACCATTCTCAATGGCCTACCAATAATGAACCTAAGTGCCAGCTTGCTTATTCACACAGGAAGAAACAGCCACAATATGGCATGTTGAAAACAATGTGGTCAGTGGGATTTCATTGTACACATTTGGAAGTGGGTGTCAACATGAATTATAGTTTCATGAGTGTTTGATTTCATAAAAATGTTTTCTGTTAATGAGGTAATGTAAAGAATTTGAACCTTGTCCCAGTTGATATTGTGGCCATTTTTTTTCCAGCCCATCCCTACATATTAAGCACTATTGTGCTTAGTGATATTCTTAGATCACAAGGATTTATACCTTGCTCTGGCTTGAATCCCTTATCTTTAGAAATTCTATTTGTGTACAAAGTCAGTTATCCTGAAATATCTACATTTAGGTAAAAGTTTAGAATATGAATTATTGCAATAGAAGTGGTATGGAAAAAAAATTGCTAGGATTTAACAAAAGTACATATATTTCTTTAAAATTTGGTGAAATAAGTTTCATCAAAGGAGGTAACCAAACAGAATTGCAATTAAGATCCTTTAATAAAAAGAAAATAGCAGCAGACTGTTAAAACAGTTAAATTTTGAAGAAATCCTGTTGAATGGAACTGTCCTGTGACAGCTTCAAGGATCATACTTCAGTTGCTGCTGTGTATCTTTTTTTAACCCTTATTACAATGAAATGTATTTTGGTTGAATTAGATTGAATCATTTTCATAAATATAGTAACATGTTAATAGTATAATCCAGTTATTGGTAATTACTGAAATGAAACTTATATTTGTTACAGTCCATACATGAACATTTTGAAATTACTAAATTAAGCATAGATTTCAGAAAAAGAGAAAATAACTATTTCCTAGCATTGAAACTTAAATATGCATGGACACTAAGAATTTTAGTGACAAGTTTGCTATATTTTTTGAAAAAAATGCTTTACAGCATATAAAATAAGATTAATGCCTGATGTATAAAGTGGAACTTCAGTAACCATAGTCGAGTAAGTAAGCCTAGAAGTTTACAGTTTTCAAAATATATTTTTTAAGTGTTTTAAATCCAAATATTTTGTCTGTTAGCATTTCATATTGTTCGTGTTGTTGAACACACAAATGTCTACCTCTTAGTAAAAAAGAGACTGTGTTTAGCTCTACTTGCTTTATACATCATAAAAGCAAATTAATTGTAAGAACAGTTAATAGCAAATGTTTATCAGTCATTAGTTCATTATTTACAGTACATTATGAAATTTATCTCCCTTTAAGCTGACCTAAACTTATTCTAATGTCAATGAACACCAGTCTTCTGTCAAGGAAATGTTAATAACATACTTTGTTGTATTGACTGATTTTGAATAGACATGATTATGCCACAAATGTATTGTAAGTTATATCATTGAGAGCTACAAAAATTAATATAATACTCTATCAGCTAAGGCTATAATACTACTAATCGGACATTATAAAACATCTTGTTTTAAAGTTGCATTTATATATGTGAAATATTATTTGAATCTTGGATTGATGTGCTCTTTGTGTTTGGTACTATTATTTTTATAGCTTAAACCTAACTCTACACCCTAGTGTAACATTAAATTACTCTCATTATAAATTGTTATTTTTAAGTAACTTTCTGATATTATTTCCTAAATGGTCTCTCTTTCAATATTTACAAAAAATAACAAATTTATATAACCTGACTGTTAATCATACTGTTATCAAATTGTTTCTCATCAATTTTCTACAAGGTTAATTTAAAAAAAATAACATCTGTTATACTTTTTCTTAGATGCTGAAGGAGGACCAAAGCATGATAGATACGGGATAACAGCAACTCTTGGTTTGGTTGTTCATGCAGCAGGTAGTTAATGCTTTGGTAACATATTAGGCCTGTTTTATGCATGAATAAGGCATAGTAGTAACTGAATACTTGAGCATATGATGTACAGAGCGTATGTAATACATGACTGTACATGTTGTAGAACAAAATCATCATAGTAGTTTTTTTTATTTTAAAGGATTTTTCTTCACTTCAATTTTTTTTTTCACAATATTTATAAATGTTAGTAAGTTGAGTGAGCAAGCTAATAGGCAATATTTCAGTAGTATATTCTACACACAACAATGAAAAAAGAAAACTAATAAAATTTCAAATCTTCTAATATCTAATAAATAAAACAAGGATTAACAAAAACTGAAATGTTTGTTATATTCTGCTTTCATGTTTATTTTGCCACATGCATAAAGCTGGAAATAATTTGATATAAACAGTATTATACCACAAAAATCCTACGTTTTCTGAGAACTATTGTACCACAAGGCAGGCCTAACATGACATCAAGAGGAAACTAACTTAGTTGTATTACTTGTAGATCTATAAGTTTTGATTAAATTTCATTTAGCTCTTATTAAGTGCAGAAAATTATCTCAATATTCTGACAAGTATAGCAGAACTTAGGTTATCTTAAGTTTCCTTTTGTAGGTACTGAGATAAGTCATTGTAGCACAGTTTATAGTCTGACAAGTTATAAAACCTAACTCTTACATATTACCATTTACTCAAGGGCTAATGTTCATTTGCATTGTGATTATAAAGAATAATTATTGCAATATTTGTTAAGTATATTTGGTTGTTTTTTTTTACATATAATATATGGCAAGTTATGTTGTAACTAGATTAATGTATAAAATATAAAAAGTGAAATGTTTACTAACTGATAGTTCTTAAATGGGTGAAAGATGAAAATTATGTCATTTACCAGATGATCTACCATGGCATAATCCTCTACCCTTGAACTGTCCATAGTGTAATCCTCTGTTACAAGTAACTGGTATTCTATGATGTAGCCCTTTACTATTTGTTCTTCCATGGTACTGTCCTTTAATAACAGATATTCGGTGGTATAATACTTCACTGATTGATTTTTTCCTTAGCATAGATTTTCCTGGAGATTTTAAGAAGCTAAAATCTGTAGTTAGTCATTTGTTAAGCTATCATTCCTGAACTTGTGGAATGTAGAAATCTGTATTGTTGTAACAACTGACTGTCTCTGAAATTGTAGAAGATTGAAAGCATTTCTAAATGATTTTTATGGCATTTTGAAGGCTTGAAACCTTTTGTTTATTATTAACTGATGTCAAAATCTGTATTTATTACTGTCCTTCCTTAAAAAAAATGTGTAATTCATTACTGAGAAATATCCTTTTAAGTTGTAAAAAGATGAAATAATCCTCTTTAACATCTCCACAGAACTTATTGATAATTTTGTGTAAACATTTACAATTACCTTCCCAGAACTTGTGAAAGTAAGTATTAGTTTGCATTTAATACTTGATTTTTGAAAAACTTAAACAACTGTTTCGAATGATTTAAAACCAGAAGTATTTCGTACAAGTAACAAGCTGTTTATATTTAACATCTAATCAGTGTTCCAATATGATATCTTACCTGTTCTCACAAAAAGCTTTCTCAACTTGTACTGCCCTCTGTTGGTGCAGATTTTTTCCGTCACTAGCCTTGTTACTCCCACTTGTTACTGCATACTAACATGCTAATACTCATGCAGCAACCATCCACAAGTAGGAGTGCAACACTACCTCTTTTCTCACTAGCGCCCTCTCTAATCCTGTAGATGGTAATCACATCTCGATTAGCAATCCTACTGATTTGACGTGTTTTTTGCTCATGGTTTAATTAACTTATCCACATGTTTTTACTTTTGTGAATTTTTTCCTTTAGTTAATTGTTTTTATTTACATTTTGTTCTGTTTCTTGGAGAGTTACGATTTATTTTATTTTCTCTTTTCTTTCAATTTTGGGAGTTATGCTCTCACAATTTTACTGGTCATGACTACGACTGCTCTTACTGCTCTTACTCATTCCTGACCATGTTTAATGGGTCGACATCATGATTTTTGACCCGGGAAGTGACGGTTCTGGTCTGTCGGGAGTTGACCACTTTCTTGCAATAATCTGAATACACCGATGCTTGTCCTAACAAGGTTTTCAGTGATCTTTTAGTATTGGATTTGAACAGTCTTTTTCCCCATCTCCTGATTATGCCTCTTAGTCACATGTCTTTTTTGCGGGACTTGCCCAGACCTTCTTCCCCTTTGGTGGATTTGTTATTCAGGTATGTTCTGTTCTTATTTCCCGTTTCCTATACTCCACCCCTTCCCTTCTAAAATATTTCAATCCCACCACCTCCTTTGTCAGATCCATGCTTTCTGAGGGTATAGGACACACACTGCTCTCTTCCATGGTTCCCAAGTCGATTTGTTTCTTCTGTGAAATCCTCACCTCTCCTGTGGCTTTTTCCCATCACCCTTTTGAGTTGAATTTGCCAGTTCATGCATTTGGCATTTTATTCCCTTCTCCTGATAATTGCAGCTTTTTCATGTTTTAATCCCATTAGATGTGTCACCTTACTATGTCCCTGGCTACATATTTCCATTTTTCCTTGGGGGACATCATCAGTGCTGTAACTGTTTATCTGTGGTGGTAAGTACTCTATTCATTTTTCCTTTTCTCTGTTAAGGCCTTTATTGCATATTTGTATTGCACTCTGTGGCAAGTGTTACCTGACCAGGTATACTTAGTCTTAAATCTGCACTGTACGACCTGTTAATATGCTAGATAACTGTGACATTGAGACTCTTCCTACTGTGGACCTGATGTACCATTTCACCTGCCGCCAGGTTTTGGTTGATTGACTTCATCCAATATGTCCTCTATGCATCAATATACAATGTAGAAAAAGAAACAAAATAACATATCACAAGGTCATTTTCTGCCCATCATTAGTATGGAGTGTTCTGCTGTACTGCTTGTAGGTGTATCTCATGGTATTTTGCTTCATAAATGTGTTCGTCCTGGGCCTTACATTCATGAACTAACATGAGTAACTTGGGATTGCTGCCCATCTCTGATGATCCATGGCATTTGATGCTCATTCTATTGCGGACCTGATGTACAATTCCAGATACTGCCAGGTGTTGGATGATGCATGCCAACAACATGATTACTCTGCTTTTTGATATAGGGTATCATGGTCACCCATTGCACTACGTCCAGTGCTGCGGTCATCTGGACTCTCCAACACATTATTTCCCTCCTTCTTTTAGTGAAGTATGGAAGTACTTGCCACTTACCAGTTTTTAGCCACTGGGGTGGTGGACCAAGGAGGCCTGTCCTCCTGAGTGTGCACAATACCACTCAGTTTGAGATTAGGGTGATGGCATTCTGTGGGTGTCAATGGCATGATGCACTTCCCACTGCAGACCTGATGTACAATTCCATTTGCTGCCAGGTGTTGGATGTAGCACTTTACCATATATACAAATGAAAATTTAACAAAATTTATCCCTGTGTCGGTTGCCAAGGATCAGGTGTTAGTTACATAAGTCTTTACGTGTGTTTGGCTGGTACTCTCCCACTACCATGGACTGGATGATAAATTCCTTAGGCTGCCAAGTTTTGGAAAGGAAGTGAACACCTACCTGGGCTCTCCTCCTTCCTATCATCTGCCAGATGTCTGTTCATAGTTGTTCACATGTGGAGATGGGTTCTTGGTACGGGAGCCCCTCTGGGATGCCAGTACCCATTTTTGACTTGAAAGGCTTTTTTATGAAAAGAGATAAGGTATACTCTCAGAAGTTAACATTTTCTTAAACTGAAAATGTATTTCCAAAAGAAAGTATCTCCTCTCACATTTTCCACCTGTCATCCCCACTGGTGTGAATTGGTTTGGTTAGTTCTGACCAGTCTTGAAGTGATTAACATGTACATGATTAGATTCCTGTTGGTGGAGGGTTGCTGCATGATCATTTGCATGTTATTATGCAGTAATAAGTGGGAGTAACAAGACTAGTGGCGAGCGAAAAGTTGTTCCAATAGAGGTCAGTACAAGTCAAGAAAGCTTTTTTGTGAGGAGAGGTAAGTATCTATCGAAAATACGTTTTCAATTTAGGAAAATGTTAACTTTCTTCAAAGTTCCATTAATATATGGTGTAAAAATATGGTATGAATAGGACCTCTACTGACTCTTAGTTCTTGCACTTGGTAACTCTGCAGTGTTTATATTCTGGGTTACAGTACATGTTTTTTCAGTCAGCTACATTTGCCAACACGTTTGTACTTGTTTATCAATAAAACTTTTTCTTGATATTGAATAGATTAAGAGTAGTTTGTTGTTCTTGTGTATCAACAAGAATGAGAAGTACAATGTAAGACTTAGCAAGTATGTGGATAATTACAGTTATTTAAACTCTGGATATGTGTGTGTGTGTGTGTGTGTGTGCGTAGAATACCAATCAAGTTGATGCCCAGTTAAAAATAATACTGATACAGATTTAACGTTTTCCACTCAAACATTTGTTGTGTTTGGTAATAAATAGTATTTTATTTCATTGTAGCTGATGGAATAGCTCTTGGAGCAGCAGTCACTACTTCACACACAGATATAGAAATGATTGTTTTTATAGCAATTATGCTGCACAAGGTTAGATTGCAGTTTTTACTGACATTTACAATGTTAATGTGTACTTTTCACAGTTTTTAAAAGTGAATGTGATTCTGTGAAAGGTAAGGTTTATTTGGAATGTGATGCACTTTGATTATTGTTATAATTTTTTACTCTGAAATACAGGTGATTAAGATGCCTACATACAAAATGTGTGTAATATCTATGACCTATTTCGAAATACAAACCTCATAAGATTAAGTTAATCAAAATTGGAGTTTAGCAGTTCATACAAATGCATTTCACTTTATTTAAAACTATTTTAATAATTTTAGATATGTTATTTAGATTTGTTTATACTAGCTATATTATGTATTGAGTTAGTAAGCTTGACGTATCAAATATTGTTTGTATTGAAATATGAAATATTTTAGTTTAGTACTTAAATAAAAAGCACAAATCTGGTACTCATGAATGTGGGATTTTTTTATTACCAAAAATCTAGGCAAGCTGTGAGCTTTTGCTTTTGGAAATGCTGTTATGGATCTCTACTAAGCTTAATAATAAAGTCAGGCTATATACATGAGGGGCTGGTCTCTGTAGTAGGGAAATCCTTAAAATATATATGAATATCTGAAACACTAACAGTTCCTGAGTGTAAGCTTATTTTAAAAGCACTTGTTTAAGTAAATCACATCTTTAACCCATTGACTGCAACTGCTCTAAACTCGCTCAGAATTTTTCAATACTTATACCTTATATTATATGGTGAATCAGTAGTCAGTGGGTTAATATATACTTAGGCCTATTTATTAAAAAGATATTTGTTTCACAACAGCACAGTGATTCAAATAAACCACAAACTTACTTCCCCCTAAACAGTTTATATCTTCATTCCAATCAGAACAGTTCATTTCAATTAGTGGTATAGCAGGGACATGTTCAAACATGCAAGTAGGAAATTCTCTGAAAGAATGACTCGTGAGAAGTTAATTATTAAAAAAAGTGAATGGTGTCATAGTAATAAAGATATAAATGTATTGTAAATTACAGAAAATTAAATAATGACATTTGATTATAAAATAGCTCATACTGTGTCAGAAAAACTTATAGCTTTGTTGTGAGTTGTTAAAAGATGTATTTATTGTGTCATTTTTAAGTTTTAAGAATTGACCTATTTAAATGTACTAGTTTCTGTTGTGTGAGATAACTATGTGAAAGGTTATTTCTACATTTGGTATTTCACAAAACATATACTGATATTTTGTATAATACTTATTCTTCAGGTATGTATGCATTACAAGTGTTTATATTCTGATTTGTATATAGATAAAGGTAAGGTCTGTTTATTATGAATTCAATATTAATTTTAACAAGTGCAGAGGTTGAGTATGCTCTATTAAAATGATTCTGGAGCCTCACTATGTCATCACAGTTCATGTTGCCACATGTGGTCATGCTTCTTCTGATGACTTACATTTTACCAATAACTCTGCAGCAAAGTTACCATTGCAAAAGGTCCATAGTAAAGCTGGAGTGTCTAAAGTACACCATTCCTTCCCACATGCTTTCCACAACCTATCTAGTGTACAAGAATGACTGTTTCTTGACATGTGCTTCAACATTCCAATTACACAGAAATTAATAGGTACTACATCTGTTATGTCTTGATATGGAATAGCAATAAAGAGCTGTTTTATTCTTCAGCTGTTTAAGGTATGTGAAAGTCAATTAGGAGGTATAAATGAAAGCCTTGTCTTGGGGAACCTCTACCTTTCTGGCCTCATTTCCTTACAAAGCCAATATTTCTGTTTGGTACAAATGCCACAAAACATTGGTATGTTAAGAAAGCAGAGTTCATCTTTATCTTTGTATACAATCTCCTGGTCCCTTTCATGTTCATGGTGCAGTATCCAATGATGATCATGAATCCCTTTGCAAATGTTCTGCAATATACTGTGTACCACTGTTGGAATTTTTTTCACCCAATAGTTGGTTGTTGGAAAATGGCTAAAGACTTGTTACAGTTATAAAGGTATACATACACTTTGTCGAGTGTCACCACATAGTGACATTTTTCTAGATATGTACCATCCATACAGTGTTCTACATTTAGTCTTTCTTTTCTGGAGTGAGCAGTGGCACTATTTTAGATGTGGTTTTTCTGAGGGTTTATCCCTGATGATGGGCAGTGGCAACACTGTCTAGATTGGTTGTATTTTTGTTTTGTTTTTGTGGGCCATCAGCCATTTTAATTCTATTCAATTTTTAAACCTTCTTTCAAGCCAAAACTTGGCACATTTTGATCTATCTTATTTTTTCTACAGTTTTTTATTTTAAAATTCTTTTTTAATTTTTTAAGTTTTTTCACCCTCATTACTAGACTGTTTGTTACAGATAGTCTTGGTGCTTTGCACCATAAAACCCTAACAGCCTAACTTAAATCCTTTCTTAGAGATTTCATGTAGACAACTTGTGTACATTTAAAGATTGTTGCTTTTCAAGACTGAGATCTTTCTTGATTATGTTGTATATTGTTGCCTGGAGCATGGGGGTGGCTTTTACCACTGACATGCATATTTGTATATTCTCACCTGTTACAAGAATGACACACTCTGCTTACCACAGCTGGAGTATGATTTGTTGCAGGTGTCTTTCTGGATGGTTGTGGTACCCTCAATTGATGCATATTCCTTTGTTTATCAATGTCACTAGGTACAAGTAAAAATCTCAAATACCTAATCTGAACAAGTTATTATGATCTGAGTGTATGAATATTCTTCTTCAAAAAGGGTTGTTATATGTCATTTTCCAAAAGTGATGCATTTTCAGTTGGCATCATACTATCTGTGAAATGTCAGAATGTAGTTCTTATACTTTCTGTTCCACACAACTTTGTTGGCCCATTGCTTTCTAATTTGCACTTTCAAAATCATTTTAATATTGCATACTCAACTCTCTGTAGAATGTTGTATTTCATAACCTGAGATATATGTAAGACTTGTGCTGAAAAGATTCAAATGTTGGAATAAAGTTTAAATTGCAATACAATGTATTAGACACATTAGAATAAATGAGCCAGGACTGGTCTAACTGCTTTAGATTTCTTCACTCAAAAAAACACAAGTTCTAAAAGCTTGCTCTAAAATCCCCCCCCCCCAAAAAAAACAAACAACACAAATGCTCTAGATTTTCTCCTTCAAAAAAATACAAGTATCAAAATCCCTTAGAATGTTTATAACTTCAAAGATATTCAATTAAGAATCATTTGAGGTTTCTTCCTATTTGCGTACAAAATAGAAGTTTTTGTTAGCTCATGTTATTTCAACTTTTTGATGTTTTTCATGCATTGTAGCAGAATGTTGTTCTATTTTCCATAGGCACCAGCAGCATTTGGACTTGTAACTTTTCTCTTACATGAAGGGTTGGACAGAAGCAGAATTAAAAAACATCTCCTTATATTTGCTCTTGCTGCTCCATTGCTGTCTGTGATTACATATTTTGGTATCAGCCAAGTAAGTTAAAAAATATGAAATTTTAAGTTACTTCATACAGTTTTGATATTGCTTCATATTATATGGTGTTCTTGGATTAAGAGATGAGAGATTATCTTTGGCGTGTATTAAGTCATAACCTAATCTTAACCTATTTCTCTGAAATAAATAGCTAAACATTGACAGATTGACCCTTTTTTGTAGTAATGAGTTAAAATGCCTTATATTACTAGCATTATTTACAATTAATCCAACAATCCTGTTCTGATAAAAGTTGTAAAATCTGTGAGGAGTTTTACTGAAACTTTCAAAGAAGGCATTTTATTAGCAATGAAATGTTTTTTCAGTATTAGTTTACTATAATATTTGTTAAAATTAGTGTTAAAAGTATTATATTCAATGTAAAGTATATACACCATTTCAAAATATGAGTAGTAGTTTGGTTTAATATGTAGGAGTAATGTTAAGTAATAAAATAATTAAATTTATATGCTTTTTATTCATAAATTATAGTATGATGTCAACATTTACAACAATGTAAAGTAAATGTATATTCAAGTAAAAATGTTATCATGCAGTATTTATTTTGTATTGTTATATAAAGAATTGAAGCATGGTAAAATATGCATCACTGTGGTTTTTGTAAATTGACTAGTCACAGTCATGAAAACTGTCATATCTATATAATCATATTTCTTCCTGGTATCTGCTAAATAAAACTATATAGTGAGAAATCAGATTTACCTTGTTGCTTTTAGGCTTTGTAACTTAGAAACTAGAGAACAAATTCAAGTATAGAGTAATTTGAAAACTAATTAAACCAATCATCATTAGCTTTCTCAGATATTTTTATTTGCTAGAATCTCCAGAAATATATAGGATTTCTATAAATTTTTTACAGCATTTTACATATCTATATTTCCACTTGTCATACTTGATACCTACAAAAGCTGTGCAGCATTTTACATATCTATATTTCCACTTGTCATACTTGATACCTACAAAAACTCTACAGCATTTTATATATCTATATTTCCACTTGTCATACTTGATACCTACAAAAGCTGTACAGCATTTTACATATCTATATTTCCACTTGTCATACTTGATACCTACAAAAGCTGTACAGCATTTTACATAGGTATATCTCCACTTGTCTCTTCATGTGTGTTCCTGTACATATATGACACGGGAACCTCCCAGGGAAGGTTTTGTTAGTACAGTTTACCTCCTGTGGCAAACTGGTGGTTGGGTAGGTGGTGTTGGGGCACTACAATGCACCTCTTTAGCCTTGAGTCCAGTAGATGAGTGGCCTTGGGGTGCCCCCCCCCCAGCATCAGTTGGCTGGTCCTGTGGAACTAGGGTCAACTGACTACCAGTGTTGGACATTCTCATGAGTGTTGAGGGTATTGTGTCCGATGCTGGTGTTTTGGTAGAGTCCCCATAAAACCCTTGCATAGCTGCACTATCCTAGTTTGACAGTGTAGTGCAACCCTTTGTATGACTCCACGCTAAGTGTGATCAGTAGGTACTGAAACTTTTTCTTTTCTTATGAAAAATTAAAATAAAGTTAAAAAACATCTACATATGAAAGTCTATGTTCCACAGTTATCATCTCCATCTGTTCCTGTACTGCATATTTTGGTACTTTGTTCTTTGTCTGATAAATCTATAGGGTAAATGTCTCCTATTTTCATTCAGAAATGATTAGAGAGGCATGCTGGCTCTCCTAAGTCAGTCAAGAAGTGACATCTATGCCACAACATATCAACCTCCTTTGGAAATCAAAGTTTGTTAGGGATATTCCTATTGAGGTTACTCCCCAATTTTTTTTTAATTCCTCGAAGGAGTGATCATTGAAAAAGACTTGCTTACCATCCATGGGTGAGAAATTCTCATTGGTTTCACTATCTAAGGATTTTCAATTGTGTAATCATAAAGATGGAAAAATGCAGACTATCTGTATTCCTATTTTGAAGTTTATATCACCACTTTCACTTGCCATTGTGAGGACATGTTAACTGAACTGTTAGATACGGCCCTATGTTCCTAACCCTCTCAGATGTTTCTAGTTTCAGCAGTATGGGCACTCTAAACCATCTTGTTGTGGTACTTTGATGTATGCTCGTAATTGTGGCAAAAGCCGTGATAGCTATGAGTGTTAGTTGGACCTACATTGTTTTAACTGAAGTGACTCCCACCCCTCCAACTTTTCTTCTTGCTCATAATGGATGGAAGAGAAAGAGGAACAGCATTTAAGGACTGTTAACTGCATTTCTTATCCCAAGGCATAGAAACTGTTGTTTCTTGTTCCAACTTGACGTATGTTTCTGCACTGCCACAGTGGGAGCGCAAACAGGTTTTTCTGTTCCTTTGTCAGAGCCTTTCTTTCAACATGTTAAAAGTATTCTGCCCACTGTGGATTCACAAGTTGACAAGGCCATGCCCCATTGACCCAGGGTAGGATCTGTGAAGATCCATAGACCTCTTTCCATAAAAAAAAAACAAAAAAAACTCCACCTGGTTCTCCTACTCCTTCTAAATAATACTGGCTACTTTGATACAGTGGAACTGTCAAGCTTTCCATTCTAATTTACATGACATTAAAGCCTTAATTGATTCCTATCATCCTGTTTGTCTGTCCTTACAGGAAGCATTTCTAAAACTTGCTAATATTCTCACCTTTTGGTAAGTTTCCTTGTAGAAGTAAGCCATGTTGTGTGATGGATGAGTTCATGTGGTTGTAGCACTGCTGGTTGACCAACATGTATCCACCATGTCTTTATTACTCATTATGGCACCAGAGGTTGTTGCCATTTGTGTTTCTATGGGTTGTACAAGTAAAACTTTTTCTCTTTACTTGTCACCAGGGGAAGTTTATGATCAAACAGACCTTGATGATCTTATTGAACAGTTGCCATTTCACTTCATCTTAGGTAGACTTTAATTGACATAATCTTTTCTAGTGTGGTGATATTGATGAGAGAAGTCATTCTGTGAAGCATATGCTCTCAGATCACAATCTTTTATTCTTCAATACTGGTTGAAATACATATTTTCACACACCTAATCAGCTTTTTACTGCTGTTGACCTGTCTCTTTGTTCCCTGTTTTTCCTGAAGGATGGACATTGACCCTTGGAGCATTGATCATTTTTCCATCATTCTGAGGGAGATTGGGCTGGGGTTGATGCGACCCAACTCGTGTAGTGGTGGAAGCAGGAGCAGACTGACTGGCTCTCCTTTTCCACTCTCTTAGAACAAGATCCTGATGTCATTAATCTCTCCTCCGTTAAAGAGTGTAAAGGCAGTAACTGACTGTATCATCCGGGCTACTGTTCATACAATCACTAAGACCTTGACACATTTGCAAAGGTATCCTTGCCCATGGTGGAATCCTGACTGCTAATGGGAATTAAAGGCTCAAAAATGGATCTGGGATGTCCTCTGCAGACATCCCACTGTTCAGAACTTAATAGACTTTCAGTAGGTTTGTGCCCATGCCCAGCAGGTCAGACTTCAAAGCCAGAAGGAATCTTGAGCTAAGTTTACTTCCAGTATTTCTTCAACCACCAGTTTCAAGGTTGTTTAAGATGAGATTCAAAAGGTTTGTGGGAAGTTTACCTCCCATCATCATTTGATCTTGTTATCCAATAGCCAGGAAGTTGCTGATTTACAGGATACTGCTGACATCCTTGGGGAGTGCTTTTCTAACCATTTCAGAACTTCAACATTTTCTATTTTCTTGGCCATCAAGTTATGGACTAAATGATCATCAATGTTTTTTTGAGCAGATAGTTCATATGGCTATAATCGACCTGTCACACTTGTGAAACCAAAGATTGCTCTTCATCAATTCAGCAATTCAATTGTTGGACCCAATGATATACATTATGAGATGCTGAGCAACCTTTCTCCTGCTTTTCTTGCTCTTTATCTGGTTGTTTTTACCCTGATTTGGCATAAGGAGGATTTTTCAGATGTTTGGCATAAAGCTATTGTCATCTCTTTTCCTAAACACAGGGAAGTTCCCAAGATTCCTTTTATTTATCACCTTATTGCTTTGACTAGCTGTTTCTACAACGTTTGGTAGAGGATGGTTAATGCTTATCTTGTTTGGTTACTTGAATCAAAAAGCCTTCTTTCTTTCACCAGTGTAGTTTCCACAGACAGTACTCCACTGTGAACAACCTGGTTTTTCTTGAAACCTCAAAATCAGAAGCCTTCCTCAAAAGGGAGCATTTTATATTGATATTCTTTGATCTAAGAGGGCTTACGACACTATGTGGAGGTTGGGAATTTTAAAGGATCTCCATTCCTATGTGTTATGTGGCCATTTACCCATTTTTATTTGTAACGTTTTACTCGACAGGCATTTCCAAGTCTGTATGGGTTTCGAAATTATCCCAGTCCTTCACACAGGAATTTGGAGTCCCTCAGAGATGTGTTTTGAATGTCACATTTTTTACTATTAAAATCATTGCTAACACAGCACAACTTCATCCTACTGTTACAGCCTCTACGTCGATGTATTTTTGACACTAGCAGAGAATAAACCCTTATCTGGATCTTTGCCTGGGTAGTGCTGTTCTTCTAGTAGTGGCTGAAGCAAAGTTCTTAATACTTCTCTTTGACCATAAGCTGACAGTTATTCCACACCTTAAACAACTCTGTATACTCTCTTCCAATTTTTGGAGAGCAGATAAATGTTCCATACTGAAGCTCTATCATGTCGTCATTCAATCAAAGCTGGACTATATATCTATGGTCTATGGTTCAGCAAGCGAGACTGCCTTGAAAGTGTTGGACCCTGTACATCATCATAGGCTTTGGCTCTGCATTGGGACTTTCCACTCTTCTCTGATCCAGAGTTCTCCACTTCACCTCAGATGCTTGGAACTTTCTTAGCAATGTGCTGCAAATTTCCACTCCTTACTACAGTATACCACCTGGCATTGAGTCTTCATGCCTCATAAGCTGTGCTTTTTGGCAGAAGGCAATCTGCCATTCCCACATTTGTCCCTTGTATCCAGGTGCAGTTGACTGCATTTGTTTGTCATTGGATGATATTCAAGAGTCTGATGATCTATCCTTCCTGCCATGACTTGTTATCATCCACACTTTAAGGCCTTTCTTTGAGTCATTTGGAGAGATCAGTTATTCCCGACTGGATGTACTGGCTTCTCTTTGGCAAATATCTTTCAAACCATCTTCAAACCATTTTGTGGATGGTGTGAAATTTGGCTACTCTATGGGCTCTGACATGGTTTGCTGTGGTTCTGTGGTTGCTCACAGGATCCCCTCTACACTTCTATGTTCACTGTTGAGTTGTATGCAATTTCACTTGCCTTGGATCATGTTGAAGCTAAGCAGTTCCCTAATTATATTATATATACTGTCATACTTAGGTTTTGATGACCTTGGACTGACTTAATGTGTATTCTCACCCAGTTCTTTTGGATATTCATAAATGACTGGCCAACTTCTTTTTGTCATCTGTATATTTTCAGTTTATGTGGATTCTTGGTCATGTTGGTATCCATGGGAATGAGCTTTCTCACATCATAGCCACATCTGTTTGCTCTGGCATTGTCACAGCCCTGCCTGTCCCTTATGTAGACTACAGACCTGTCACCAAGGCCTGACTTTCGTGCCAGTTGGAATGACTTAATGTGTGTTCTCACCCAGTTCTTTTGGATATTCATAAATGACTGGCCAACTTCTCTATCATCTGTATGTTTTAAGTTTTTGCGGATTCCTGGCTGTCCCTCATGTAGACTACAGACCTGTTACCAATTTGGAGTGAGCAACGTAATAACAAGCATTTCCAGATAAAGCTTACTGTTATTGTCTGGTTTTCTAGTTTTCATAAGGACCAAAGGGAGGTAGTTGTCTTGTCTAGGCTTTGCATTGGTCACAGTTTCCTGACTCGTAGTTTTCTTCTAGAGGAGATAGATGCACTAGTGTGTGGCCTTTGTGCCATTGCTATGGCTGCAACAGAGGCACCATTTTAGACATGTTTTATCCTAGGGTTTACCCTTGATGATGGACAGTGTCACTGGTGATAGTGATCATGTTTTTCGTGTTACAGGCCATTGAGGTTTTAAATTCTATTTGATTTTTTAACCTTCTTATAAGAAACACGGTGGACTTTTTAATGTGTTATTTTATTTACTTATTCTACTTTTTGTGATATTTTACATTCATTTATTTCCTTTTTTTCAATATTTATAGCAACTGTTTAGCACAGATAGCCAAAGTGCTTTGTACCAAAAAATTCCCAACAAATGCAAAAATGCACAAATATACACATTGCTAGTGAGAGTAATCTATTGCTGTAAGTTGTAATTTTTGTTTTTAATATGTAATAAAGATTTATTATTTGCATATGTTTGTACAGCGGTAATTAAAATGTTTTGATTTATGAATGTTCTGTCTTTCAGTCGACTAAAGAAGTTTTGTCAACAAACAGTGCAACTGGGACTGCTATGTTATTCAGTGCAGGAACATTTCTTTATGTTGCTACAGTCCACGTTTTGCCAGAAGTGGTCAGCCAGTCCCATAACCATTCTCTTGGCTCAGACCCTACATATGCTGAACATAAAAGATTTCATAAAATGGAAACAGTAGCATTAGTAGTTGGTGCTCTTCTTCCTATGTTCTTTTCTGTTGGACATCATCATTAAATAATAATAATGAAAAAATAGAACAGAAAAAAGAGAGGAATGAAAATGTTTGTTCATTTCTTTACATGTTTAATAAATGTTTAATATAGGTACTCTAAATGACTTTGAAAACAAATGGGTGTATATTATGAGTGGCAAGATAAAATATTAAGTTGTTTTACTTAAAAATGTTAGTGCATAAAAAAGCATTTTATCATGTTTGGAACATTTAAGATAAACTAATGTTAACTGACATGTGTTTGTGAAGCTAAAGATTTTACAGGAAATAAATTTGTATTGTTATCATAATTCATATTTGTTAGGAAAACTGTGAGCTTGCAATGGTTAAAGAATCAAATTCAAATATATGATGTTCTATCTTTTTTATATATCTTTGTTGTATTGTACTTTTGTGTTTAATAACATTAGATGGAAGTTCTGGAAAACAAGGTTTTTATAAAGTTCACTAACTTTAGTAAGGAGGCTTAGGCAGGTGGAGTTTGTACTAAGTTATTTAATAACTGGAGAAACAATTGAATGAAAGTTTCTGAATTAATAATATTTACAGTGGTTAATATGTGTGTAATATTAATGTATATTGTTTGTTAAAACTTCATGTAGCAATATTCATAATTTTAAGATTTGCAACCTTTTTCAAAGAGAACTTTTTTCAAGACAAGCAAACTGTAAATATGTTAAAAGAAGATGATTCCAAAAGTGAAAATCGTTTTTTTAAGAGTTAAATATATTAAATTGAAGATTGGTATCAGTATGCTATGTTTGAGAAATTTCTTCTCGTTTGTTAATCCATATACATAGCGTGGTCACAAGTAAATAGACACCACCTTTTCAGAAAAAATGAAATTTTTTCAGTCATATTCACATGAATTGATATATTTATAATTTAATTAATATCTAGTAGATCTTCCTTTCGCTTTGTGATGTTTGTTGTTCCTTTGGGGTATCGTGAGAATCATCTCGTCAATTTAAGATTGTGGAATTTTCGCCCACCCTTGCTTCAAAACTTGGAGTAGATCGCTCTTCGAAGTTGGTTTTTTTTGGTTGTTTTTTGACTTGCTGGTTGAGTATGGCCCAGAGGTTTTCAATGGGGGTTCATGTCAGGAGATTGGCTCGGCCAGGGCAACTGTTGGATACCATTTTCTTCCTGCCATATTATGTGTTTCTAGCAGTGTGACACGATGCTCCATCTTCCTGGAACAACGTTTTTTTCTTGTCCACAAAATCCGAGGAATAAAGTGGCAAGAGTCCTTTCTCCAGTATTTCGACGTATTTCGCAAAATTTATATTGCCAATGCACTCCACTAAGCTCGATCTCCCACCAACCCAAACAGCTCCCCAAACCACCATGCTTCACAGTTGGCTGCAATCTGTTAAGCCAAAACTCTTGGTGAGGCATTCTCCAGACCCATATCCTTTCACTGTCCGAAAATTGAGCGAATCTTGATTCGTCTGAGAACAATACGGTTTTCCAAAAGTCCAAAGGCTTCATCATATCACTTTTTTCGTCTGACTATGTTGGCAGGTCTTAATAAGGGCTTCCGTCTAGCTGCTCTGCAACGATAACCCAATCTGTGGAGAATCCGTTGAACAGATTTCGGGCTCATCCCACCAACTTTGGCCACTTCTGCAGTCATTAATCTGAGATCCATTTCGGTGCTCCTCTTGACAGCCCTTTTTGTCCTCTCCAATGGACCAGGACGACCCGGACGCTGTTCAGTTGTTTCCTTGCCGTATTTCCTGAACTGCACGATGATTCTGTTGACTTTCGAAAGTGGGATTCCCAAATTCCACCATCTGCTTGACCAACTATCCTTCCTCTAACAAAATCTGACAATTACTGTGTGGACCATTTTCATTTATATAGTGCTCTGTGAATACAAATTAGTTAGCATAAATCAGTTAAATGACGAAAAATTAGGTGTCTATTTACTTGTGACCACTCAGTGTAGATCGATATGAAATTCTCACCATCTCTAACTGGAGGTTATATATATATATATGTTGTTCCAATGTTTGATATTACTGATGAAGCTTATATAAGGAAAGCTACATTTGGCACCACATGACCATATGAATAGTTTTAGAAGGTTTAGGTGTTTTACTTGTAAGGACAAAAAATATATGTGTCCACGTGTGGAATACTTTTGCTACATATGAACTATATTTCATACTTGTATTTATGTAAGTTTGTATTCATAGATTGAATAATCAGAAAGTAATAACTGAAGTTATAAAATATATATCCCGCTTATTAGAAAAATAAATAGTACAGGATACTCAAAATCAATTTAGGTAGAGACATAAAAATAACTAATGGAATTACGAGGTTAAAATCCAGTTGTCTTTCTCTGATTAGTAGCACATGTTCACATGGTGATCTTAGGCTGTATTATGTTTATACAGGTATGTGAGCATAAGGGGTAGGGGCTGGCATATTATCTTCATAAAATAAATTTTGCTTATTACTTCCAATGGTCTGTTTTTTTATTTTACTCGTTACATTTAGAGCTGTTTCCTTTATACACATTATTTCAGTGGTTTTAGATGTGGAGTGTTGCTTCCACATTTTGAGTCCTAGTTTCATGTTGCATGTTGTGTTTGAGGTTTAATCTCATTGATGGTTTATTCTGTTATAATAGGATTGCTTTTTCCAATATGTGTAACATAATTGATTTTGGTGTAGGTTTTCAAATAACATTCATATATACATACCAACGTGTAGTTGTTTTTTGTTTCACTTCATAGTATGATTGCAGGACATCAATTTCTATGTATGTACTTTAAAAAAAAAATATTTTCGTTGCAATTGTGTATCCATCCTAGGTAAGTTAACACTTGTGACCAACTATTATTAGTGATTTTTGAACATAATGTATTTCATGTGAAACTTTAAAACTTCTGTTTTTTAGTGCTTGTCAGGGAAAACTAAACTAAAACTTTTCTTAGTATGTGGCAAATGATTCATTGAATTTACATTGCTAAGCAGTATCTCTTACTGATTTTTAACTGGATCATAAGTCTCCACCACCATGGGTTTGTAGTGTTCTAGCTCCCTTTCATATAACTTGCAGAGGAAAGTTAAAATACTGCCAAAAAGAAATTATTACTATCATGTCTTGCACCAATGAAAAAATAGTAATTTGATTTTGTCTTGCTGATATAGAATGGTGTATAGATCCATTATATAAAGTATTTGAAAAAGTCCAATTAGTGAGTTTTCATGTTTAATGCTTGAATATTAAATATCATTAGGAAATTAGTCGGGAGCAGATCCAGTGAACTGCATGTAGCTTTTTTTTGGCTGATTGTTTGAGGGAATGTTGGATTTCTTCAGGTGTAATGATAAGGTCGACACCTATGAGGAAAACTGTGAGTTTTGCTTTTAGGGTTGAGCAGGTTACATGTGGAAAGAAATTCCAGGGACTACAAAGATATGTTAAGTCAGCATGGCTTGAGGGCTGGAAAAAAATTCCTCCTTGTTGTAGGATTCTTGTCTTCGTGGGATCGACAAATACTCTAGGTTTATGATGGTTGATGAAGGTGCTGATTTGGTATAGGGTAATACGTCGAGGTTGACTGGAGATACCAGCAAAGTCACAGGAGGAGATTCAGAAGGACTGGAAAAAGGCATAGCTGAAGGCACGTCTTACTATCTCGACTGCAAATCTCAAAAAAAGTATTTCAACGGGTCCGGGTCAATGTGTGTATTATGTTGTTAGTCTTTCTAGTATTCTGGTGGATTGTGGAGAGCGTGTTATGGTTGGTTTATTCCTATTTCTGATTGGTGGAGAGACTTCCTGTAGATTCAACCAATGGTAGCCACAGGTTACTCACCTGTAATCTGGAATCTCTGTTTAGTGAAGGTCTTATTGTGTTTAGCCCGGCATGGCCAGGTTAGGGCGTTCGGCTCGCAATCTGCAGGTCGAGGGTTTGAATTCCCATCGCAACAAACATGCTTGCCCTTTCAGCCGTGGGGGCATTATAATGTGACGGTCAATCCCACTATTTGTTGGTAAAAG